CGTTACGTAAGCGAAAATACTACAATGCGGATATGTCGCCAAATGTGGGGTATCACTCACACTAAAGACGTAATAAAAACAGTCAACCCTTGAGTATTAGAAGAGACTGAATTCAAATCAATCATAAATATGAAAGATGATAGCTGAAATTCCTGCTGGCGAAATTGGCGAATTTCACTAGCGAAAGGCTGCTTTCTTTTATTTTTTGGGGGTCAGTTAAAAGTCTTGAGGCACTAATAGAAATAGTTTTTTTTTCTTATTGAGTATGTAACTTAGTTTCCGTTTGCAGGAATGATCTTGAATGGCCTTGGCTACTTTTAGTCGTTTTGATGAAAAGCATTTATTACATAAATGATAGTGTCTTACTCTGTCGCTTTACTCTGTCCTTGCATTTTGGTATACGACCTTGGAAATTTTATTATTATTTATTCTCTTTTTGTACTTTTTCTGGAAAAGTTTTTGCTTCGGGCTAACTCATAATTAAGAAATATTAAAAATATGATTTATATGCTAAAAATATATTTTATTTCTTTTCTAGTCTGCTTAGTTAAGACACGTATCTTCTCGGAGATCTGAATGAGGGAAGACTAAATCTTTCCTTCTCCTTAAACGATGCTAGAACTTCTAAAAAAAAAAAAAAAGAAAGAAAGAAAATTTAACTCTTATACTATTAATGTTTTCCAAAGTGTACAGATATGTGTTACGCGTTAAAAAAATGCAGCGAACATTTGTAAAATTGGTCTTGTTATTTATGTGTACATTCTGTCCAAAACGTAATGAGAATCATACATTTCTTGCAACATCGAAGGCCCAGCTTTTACGTTACTTAGCCAATTTTTATACAGGTTGATAAGAGTTGTATAAAAATCCCAACAGGACTTTATAGGTAGTCCTGTATAAAGTGTTTCGCTATAAAATTCTACAGAAATTCCATAAATCCTTTGCAGAACAGACTTCTATAGATATATTACTTCGAAAAATTATGTAGAAATTTTTAAAGCCTTTAAAATATTCTATAGAATTAATCTATTCTATTTTATGGTATTCTGTAGAAATCTGTAAAGTTTTTAAACTGTGATTAAGGCTAAGTTTTAGTTTCTGATGGTATTATATACGGGATATAGAACAGCAAAAATAAATGCTTTTTTCGTGCGTGTTGAATAATAATTTTCGAACAAAAATTCTTGCCTTTATTCTTCTAGCTTAATGTTTTTAGTGTTTAAAATTATGTAACATCTTGTGCAATTTTTTTGTGCAGTATTACTTTCATAATATAAAAATTAAATCTTGCAAATGCGTAAAATCAAAATCATAAAATTAGTTAAAAGATTAAATGTAAGCTCTTAAATTATAAAACATTAAATTCCGAATTTGATGCTTTTAATTGTTGCATGCGTATCCTTCCTTGTTAAGAGAAATCGTTTTTTTTTAACTAAGTGTAGCTATTATTTAAATTGCTTCTAATTTTATTTAAATATTTTTTTAATCTAAAAGATATTGAATTTTTTATCACTGTATAATATATTTCTTCCGCTTTCTTAGCATGCCTTGGTAGTGTTGTAGTCTGCACTCTGGGTGCGTATTCTAGAGGTCCGTGGTTTGATTCCCGGCGAAGGCATTGCTTATTTTTCACTTCTCCTGCTTCCAAAAATATACCTAATGTCTCTACAGTGACGCCCAAACTAAAAGGGTGGATGGTGATCCTCCACACCCAGGATTAGGCGATTGGGTCCCCTAAAACACCAGTCTCCCTTTGATAGAGGGAGTATGTAAGGTGTTTCTCCCACCTTCTTAGCATGCCTTGGTTGTGTGGTGGTCTGTTATGGTTCGATTTTCGGCGAAGGCGTTGCAACTCATTTTTCATCTCTCCTGCTTCCAATTAAACTAATGTCTCTACATACTTACCATACTATTCTAACTTGGCTACGTGCCATTTATTTTACTCCTTTCAAAAACATTTTAAAGGACATACTTTGGGACAGTTAATAACGTTAAAGCAACTGCGATAAAGACGAACAGTTTGTGAATGAAAGCTTCTTTCATTATTTTTAAGGTTAACAGCAACGCCATAATTACTGTGTTCGATCACAAGATTTTGGAAGTTATTTTGGAAGTTAGAGTTGGGCTATAGTTGCGTGTGTAGTCAACAATCTCTTTAAAACAGTTTCAATACTTTTGGGAGAGACTGTATGTATTTAAGAGTCTAAAATTCACATTCAGTTCGAAATAAGACTTCATAATTTACGGTATTAGAGGAATATTTCATGTCCTATCATTTTCATACTGCTTAAAATTCTTATTAAAAACCATACTTACCATATCTTTAAGTTCAGACATAGTAATTTTCTAGTAAATTGCTTAACCGAAACAGAAACTGAACCATTTCTTTATGCGTTTTAGCAGCCGAACGGATAAGATTGGGAGTTCGACCCGAGTTGCAATTATAACGTACGCTGTATGGTGAATACGAGCCAGTTTCCTTCAGAAAGTTCCTCCATGAAAGGCATCCCTTCCTTAGAAAGATAGCATGCTTTGCCCTAATATAATAAGCCCTCTTTCTTAATACTAAACTTTAGAGAAAGAAAAACTCATTTGTATTTCGCAAGCACGTACTTATCATTGTATTGTTCAATAAAGAAAACTTCATGTAAAAAAGATTTGTGTTTCATTATTTCACGCAATTAGTTTCTTGACTGTGAAATCTGTTTACTGATATTCAGCATTGTTTTGTTCTCCTAAAGCTTGACGATTGCTATTCTTTCAAACAAACTTGCTTTAATATCCTTTTTACATAACCAGAGTTTAAGTTATTAATATTAGAAATTGCTAGTAAAGCACATTGCTAATAAATACGAATTAGGCTCAGCGAATATATAGATTAAATACATCTCATATATAATTTCCACTAAAATAATGAATCCAAATTGGTAAAGTCTTTTCAGTAATTGTAAAACAATTCGCAGAAATTGAAGTAATATTAAGCAAATATAATACTGCAATGATTAATTTAGAAAAAAGAAAAAACAAGCACATTAATTATTAAGTATTAGCCAGGCCTATACGCTTAACCAATTACAAAATATGTACGTGAATGTTAAATAAGAGATATAACGGTTAAATATTCGTCACCTCAAGGTCGAATGTAGAAAAACCTCGGCGTTTCTTCCGCTCTACTTATTTCGTTTAAAAAGGGATTTTCCCAGCACGTGGCTTGTTGATTTTTTTCTGTGTAAATACGATAGATTTAAAAATGCAAATAAAACGCATTTTCCCATGTAGAAACATTCATCATGCAGACATTTAAGTGAAAGAATTATGGGAACAAAACTGAATAATTTAAATTTATTCCTTGCCATTAGGGTTAGGGAGCTCTAAAAGACAATTCTGATGTTTTAACACCTCAAAAAGTGTTCCTTATTTCTTAAGTTAGCGGCTACGGTTAAAATTATATACTTGATTGAACGTACATACTAATCGAAGATACTTAAGATCCTTTAATTACCTTTGGTTTTACAAAAACGCGTTTTTCATCAACGTAGTAGAATATATATATATATGTGTGTGTATTTCTTAATAACAAGAAGTGTTACTTCAAATGAGTAAACAAAGCAGCGCTTATGAAAGGATTATTAACTATACAAATGTAAACTATGAAATGACATATTTATTTTTTTATTTTTATAACCATATATACTTTAAAACGACATTGTAACGTCAAAGAAAATTACGGAGAAAAGTATTTCACATAATTTAATTATATATTATAACAAGTGTCATGATCGAGTTAAAGCGATCAGAGGATTAAATTTACAGTAAAAAAGTAGATGATAAGAATTTCATCATAATGCAAGTGGTCTCAGATTTTCCAAGTTTGTGACTTTTTATGTAAGAGAAATCCATTTACTCGTATTTCGCGAATAGCTCTAGATTTATAGCAAAATACATATTCATAAATCATTTTATGGGACAATTGTTCTTTTCGTATAAACATGTCAATATAGTAATATAATAAAAAGCTAATAATTCCCAATGGTATAAAATCTAAAAACTGGTAACAGTAAAATACGCACCAAACATGGCATAGTAATCTTGGCCTTTCATATCTCTCCATCAACAAAAAAGCGACATACAGTTTAGATATTCTGTCTTATCAGAAAATATAGCCTACAAGTGGCTAAGTGGATAACACCGCTTAACATGGGTAGATCCAAGGACACTATGCCACAGAGTTTGCCCTTGTGTGACGTCACTGACTTATAATCTGCTCAAAAGCAATTCCTTTTGTGTCTTTTTCTCCCACCTTGGGTAAGTAATCGACGTCAGTACTGGGAAGAGCCTAATCTTGTTTGTCTAATGACCTTGCTAGGGTTCAAATTCCGGTGAACTAAATTAGGCATTGTTGTGGGCTTTCTCGATGTGCAACAGTGACTACGAACCGATTTTTCTTAAAAGATCCTTTAGAAAAGCATCTCTCCTCTTGGAAAATAGCCCTTCTCTGCTTTGCGATAAAGATTAAAAAAGCTGTCGTAAAATACACACAACTATTATACAGAAAAGCATCTCTCCTCTTGGAAAATAGCCCTTCTCTGCTTTGCGATAATGATTAAAAAAGCTGTCGTAAAATACACACAACTATTATACAGACTTTCATAAAGGTAACATTACTTAACCCAAATATAATATAGTATTAGCACTAGTGAAACAACTTATTTACGCTTCCCTTTTTAACACATTTGGTGACCTGTAAAATCTGGTATAATTTACTCTGATATATTAAATACTAATTCTTAATGATACTTTTTGAAATGTTTCATGTTCTCTCAATAGCATTTTTACTTTTATGTATATTACCGACAATATGTGAAAGAAGATATTGTACAAAATGCCTAGACAATACATTACTGGTAACATATACCGCATTTGTTTTCTGTTAATGACAGGAAAATTAATAAGTGATTATGCTTGTTTCTAGAAAGTAAGAGTTGATTTATTTATTGCAGGTATGGAGTCATATCAGACGGCCAATAGGTGTGATGATAGGGATGTCCAGTCAGTTTTTCTTGCTGCCTCTTGCAGCTTTCACTATCATCCTCTTGTTGCGCCTTGACCCACTGTATGCAACAGGCATGCTGGTGCTCGCCTGCAGTCCTGGTGGTGTCACCTCCAACATATTCTCGTATTTCTGTGATGGAGACATTTCTCTGAGGTAAGACAGCTATGTATTCTTTGTGTCTAGGTCTTAGAGATTTAGAACATAAATGTAACTTTTCCCAAGTGCATTTAAATGTTTTTCTAAGTACATCTCTGTTTAAGTCATAGGGTCTTAACTTGAGAGATGGACTATAAGTATGTACTTATAGTGATATCCTTATCTTTAATTATTACAAATTAATTCCGAATTTCATGACAAAGTTTAATAAACAGTTATAATCAGAGCTATAGATCACATCCAAGATGGCATCTAATATTTTATTATCGAATAAGTTGGAGGACGGAAAAACGGCGGTGAACGGAGAAAAAGCTTTAAAAAGTAAATGACAAACCAAACCAAATTTAGGAAACTATGGCCTGTATGTGCCAATAGAAATCTGGACAAAAATTTTGATGCACATACATAAATACAAATACTAAATAAATTTCTCGTTTCGAATGTACCACCTCTACCGTGTATTCTTTATCAATTAATAATACACTGACTACCAATAAGTATTTGGACACCTGTGATAGAAACGAAAAACTAACTTTATTCAAAGTCAATAGTTGGTAGAGCCTCCATGAGAGGTAATTACAGCGTGGACCCTCCAGGGCATACTTTCCACAAGTCTTTGTATGGTAGCTAGTGGTATTTTCTTCCACTCGGCTTGGAGAAGACATAGAAGTTCCTTCACCGATTTTGCACGGGTAGTGCACCCTTGAATTCGGCGATGCAACTCGTCCCAGAGGTTCTCGATAGGGTTCAGGTCTGGACTGTGGGCAGGCCAGTTCATTCGATGAACTCTATTGGCACCATACCAAGCCTTGGTTAACGTCGAAACATGACAACTGGCATTGTCGTCCTGAAAGTAACAGAGGTCCAACCCGTAAAACTGCCACAACGTAGGAAGCACATTGTAATCCCAAATAGTGCAGTAGGCATCGGAGTTGAGCTTACCATGATGGGGACCAAGGGTCCCAGCCCATACCAGGAGAAACACCCCCAGACCATAATTCCACCTTCGCCGAACTTGACTGTTGGCACAATGCATTCTGGCAGGAAACGTTTTCCAGGTAGAAGCCAGACCCAGACCCTGCCATCCGAACGGTAAAGGGTGAACCTTGATTCGTCACTCCAAAGAATCCGTTTCCACTAATCTACGGTCCAATTTCGATATGCTTTGCACCACATTAACCGAGCAACGCGGTTGGACTTTGTGATCAAAGGCTTATGGGCAGCAGCACGACCATGAAAACCAAGCAGATGTGCTTCCTTACGGATGGTATTCAATGAAGCAATACTCCCGGATGCCTGTTGAAACTCCTCGCGGATGAGGGCTATCGGTTGGGTGCGGTTCTTCCGAATTTCTCTGAACAGCACTAGTCGGTCTCTATCCCCTAGTTTCGTTGGTCTGCCCACTCGGGGCACATTCCTACAATCACCCTCACCTTCCACTTCTTAATCACATAGGCCACTGTGGATATTGGGTACTTCAGATCGCTAGATATGTCTCTTAAGTATCGGCCACATTCGTGATACCCGATAATTATACCTTTCTCGAAATCAGAGAGCTCCGAACTGCGAGGCATCTTGCATGCGACTAAAGCCGATGCTGTTTCCTACACGATATATACCGGCGGAGTCCGTGGCGTACCTTGGGACCGCAGATATCGTCATTTGCATAGGTGTTCAAATACTTATTGGTAGTCAGTGTATGATTATCTTTAATAAGGGGTTTTGTATAAATTTAATTTGATAAAAGTTATTAAAAGTCTCAAGATTTCTCTACTAGTTTATTAGAAACATGTAATTATTTAATGTGATTTAGAAAGGATAATTTTGAAACACTGAGGAACCTTACCCTTCAAAGGAAAAGTAAATGAAGATTTACATATTCTTCCTAAATATTGCGTTAATATCATTGAAGTGATGTTAAATTTAGTATGAATATATTCTAGGATAATTGAAATTTTCATTAATTAGGAAAAGTATTTCTAAAATATACAAAATAATTGAAAATTTTATGGATTTCAACAATAAGGGGCGAAAAGTTCAGCTGTAATTAAACAAACCTCACGAGAATGATTAGCAAGCTAACTGATTAATATTTACTTTGCATAAATCGTGAAAATGCAAAAATACCATGAATTAAGGATCTAGCGATTGAAGGCATGACAAGATTGACAATAAATGATTTAATCCACTTAGCCAAACATTGACCTAATTTCAAGATGCTTTACGAATAACCTTCGTGTTTAAGACAGGTTAGAGAGACAGCGCTGTTGGACATTGTCCGAATTCTGTCTCATTTTGATTTGAAAATATATTTTTGTTTCTGAGTAGCAAAATATTTTGAGTTTCTTTCTTCAGGTTATAGAGACATTAGGTATTTTTTGAAAGCAGGAGAGATGAAAAACGAGCAATGCCCGGGCCAGAACTCGAACCACAGACCTCTCGAGTACGCGCCGAGCGTGCTGACCATTACACCACGAAGGCATGCTAATAAGGCGGGAGAAATACCTTATAAAATAATTAGAATTTTGTTCCACCCAGTGGCGCGCACTAACAATTAAAGGCTTTGGCCACTACTAAGGCCGGAAGCAGTGATCTTTTTATTATGGAGGCACCTAATAGATGGGCAACCATTGCCGTTTATGAAGGGACACACAAATTATATTCATGCCTTCTCCGGGATTCCAACCCGTACGCTTTGATGCGTCAGTCAGAATCACTAACCATTTTCACGTCTGGGCGGCATAATTAGAAAAATAATTCCTCATGCATTGCTAGTAGAATATTGTGGTAATGAGCAGGTGGGATGAAAAATCTGTATCCTAATAACAGCGCCCGACATAAAGTCTGCAACTGTCTGTTGCCACTGAAACGAGCTCTTCACGCATTCTTTTAGGCTTTGTCCTAAAGAAAATTAAAATTTGTCTTCCTAGCGCAATTAAAAACTAAATGGTGATATACCTTTTTTTTATTTTTGCTTTAAACAAAATACTTTATATATTATTGTCCTTTCCATGGGCAACAATCCTCTCCCCCCTGAGGAAAAGTAAACCTTTTACCTGTTCTCCTTATTCGTAAAAGTCTGTTACTATAGCAACCAAAAGGGTAAAACTTTCATATTTTCCTTCCTACTTTAAACGTATAATGTCTGTTACTATAACAACTGTCTCCAGTTAGACATGGGCCCACCAGTGGCAGAGCGGTAAAGCCGCTGAACACTGGTAGTTCGGTCCGAGGTTAAAATCCCGCGAACGGAATAGCTGCATGGGCGTTTGAATGTCTTCTTGATGTGCAATGTGTATACGAGCCAGTTTTCCTTAGAAAGTCCTCCATGAAGTCATCTTTCCTCTCGTGATAAACAGACAGTGCAATTTACTATCTTAACACACTGAAATCTGTGCTAGCATCTATCGTAATGGTTGATATCCCGTACGATTAGTAAAACCTATATGGAAAGATGTGTGAGAGAGCGACTCCCAGCACGTTAAAGAAAATAATTTTTCCAGCCCAAAAGGTGAAGTTTTCAGTTATATTATTTTTCATATAAAATCAGCTCACTAATAAAATGCAGCCTAAGACTTCATATTAAAATATAACACTCAAATGAACAGTTTGCCACTAAAAATTTTAAAGAATTAAGAAATCCGATGGATCTTAAAAAGCTAAATGAAACAAATGATTTTGTACCAATAGATGATTTTGTACATATTAATTACACACAAACTGCTGATGTTCATAAAGTTGTTTGTTAGATACATTAACAAAATCAATGTCAGTTTGTCTCAAAAAAATACAATCTTTAAAATGTAACATTAGAGAACGAATTTTTAAGTAGTTTTTAATTTTATTGCTAAACAGTACAACATTTTAAATTGCAAATTATTCCACTGTACGAACATTATTTTTGAAGTTTTAAGAAACTGATGTAAAATTTGAAGGTCCTTTATCTGAGGCAGTTTTTAGAATCTAGAGTAACATTAGCATTTATTATAATCTAGCCGTTACGCAGTATGCATGAAAAGAACCAAACGTAATTTTAAAAATTACTCAGAAAAGCAAACGAACTCGTTTTAATACGTTGTTCTTAAAAAGAAACTCGAGTTCATTGTTCTAATGCAGACTCATTTTGTAAGAATATCATTCCAGGAGTTTTATTTTAGATGTGGCAACAGCTGCAATGATTTTGTTTATTAATGTCTTTTTAACGAAATTTTGATCTTCTATAGAGGACATTATACTCTAATGGTTGATTTACGATAAATAATATTATAAAGATTATGATTTGCAAAAATTTATAAGTGTCATAATATGGCAAGCGATTATTTCTGAATTAATTCTTCCACTCAACCTTCGTCATCAATGACTGCTATGATCGATGTTAGAGGAACGCGCAGCGTTCAACCTCATTTTCCAATCTCTTCACGATCTGGAGGTTATTCGATCGAGGTAACTTACATAAGTTCTCGACTCGTGACAGGAAATGTCTAATATTTATTTATTTACTTTCATTAATTATTCGAAATTCTCTCCCTTGACTTCTTGATGCTATTATTTGTCATTAAATTCTTTCCAGAAAGAATATTTGCTTTAAGGGTAGGCTGTAGATGTTGAACCGGCATTCTAGAGTCATAGTAGAATTTAAGAAATCAACATCTTTACAGTGATTTCGCATGTGAAAATGAAACAGGATCTTTCAAATTTATTGGTGAAAAAGAGCTGAACTTGGGCTATGGACGAATTCACTGATGAAGTCCAAATGTAAAAGCGTTTATAAAAACGGAAAATAACGGCTGTTGGCTTTAGGTAAATTAGGTCGGTTGTGTATGGACTAAAAAAAACTAAGAAAACACTTATGCAGTGACTAGTTTCTTGCAAACGATATCTGTCATAACAAGAGTGTCTTTGAGGATGGCTTTCCAAAGGAAATTAGCTCGTATTCACATTACACACCAAGATTAATATTAAACCATATTTAAACTCCTCCGCTAGAAACCGAATCA